ATTTCAACAGGATAATGACCCGAAGCACACTAGTCGGGTTGCTAAGGAGTTTTTAAAAGAAAACTTCCCTGAGGTTATGGACTAGCCATCTAACAGTCCAGACCTCAATCCTATCGAAAACCTATAGGGAATTGTTAAGCATCATGTAGAGAAGCGTATGCCAAATAATATTAGTGAATTACAACAATATATGACAGAAGAGTGGGAAAATATTCCAGATGAATTTTTGACTAATCTTATTGGGTCAATGCATAACCGCTGTCAACTTGTAATTGATAGCAATGGCGAACGAATTAATTATTAATAAATTTTATTCTTTATATTGTCAAAAGCCTTGCTTTTTGGCTTTTAAACAAGCTATCTCATTTTAAAATTAAAACATTCTATATAAAACTACAATAAAAAAACGGAGGCCAATTTTTTTCTTAACACACTGTATATAAATTTTCTAACAAATATTGTAAATGTTAAAAAAAAAGGAATGAAAAATTTCCTCTATTACTTGAAGGCTTGGAAACGGTTTTAAAATTCAGTTGTAGTTTCCCGAAATTATATTTGGGGGCTTAATCGAACATATGAGATAGTTGATGGTTTTATTAAAAAATGTCAACAGATTTCATCCCTTCCAGATAAAATTATAGTATGTATACCTTATGAGCAATTTAAAATATACAAAAGTTAACAGAAGATGGATTCAGCTCAATTTATACTGCTAAAGAAGCTGAAGAAAATAAAAAGGAGTTTAGTTATTTTGGAGCCCAGTATGCAGTATTTAAAATCATTAAATAATTCGAGGAAAATATTCATTTTATTTTATATTAAATCAAACCACCAAGCAATTCGAAAAAATGGTGAGTTAATTCGGAGGTGTTGCAAAAGTACATTGAACCAATGCTAGTCCTTGATATGGTGGACATATTAATAAATGGCTTTATCAGGTTATTGGCTCTAATATTTCTTAAACTTGCAAGTGAAATCTCATACTCAATACAATGTGCACCTTCCAAATAAATAAATACTATGTAAAACATAAAAAGTTTATTTTAAAGGCCACTAAAATTTATAAATTAAGTTAATTATGAAGCTCCGAAGAAAGTTTATGTATGCAAACCGAAATTCGGATTTGGGTTGGTTTGATAGAGATTTCGGTTGAATTGAATCGAGAAAAAAAAACAATCAACATGACGTGCTTTCCCACGTTCTAAATCTAAACTTTAAAAAATAAAAAAAAAAGAAGCGTTTTTAATAATTCGTCGTTTGATACTTTTTGCAAACTTCATTTTGAAATAACAAAAAAACCAACAAGAAGCTTTGTGTATTAATAAAAGTTTTTCTAGATGTTTAAATTTAACTCGTTTTGAGCTCAGACAATAATTGCAGCTCGAACGCGGCGTGATCTTAATTTTTACGCATTTTTATATAAGTTTCAAAACCAAAAATTGTTCTTTAAAAATACATTTGGAAAGTTCTCTAGCAAAAGTCGGCGAGCAAAATATATTGTAATTAATTACACACATATTTGTGATATATGAACTAAATGTTCCAAGTTTTGTACGAATTTCATTCACTATTATACTATGTAAACAGGGTCTAAAATTTTAATCCTTATGGGATATAACATTATTATTATTATTACGTAAAAATCTCGATTTTGGACAGGGAGTCCCAAAATCGATTTTTTCTAGAGAACCTCCTGTTTTATATATACAACTAATACAGTAATTATTATTATTTTATTTTGCTTCGATGCCATAGACGGTTTGAAATTGTTATAATCATTATTTATATTGGATTTACTCTCGGGTTTTATCTTTATAATAAATCAAGTCATTTGACAAAGTTTTCTTCAATTTATTCTCGAGGTTGCTTTTTCTCAAAGTAACCTTGATCGTGGATTTTGTTTTGGGCTTGCTTGATTGTGCTTTTCCATTCTCTGATATAAAGTAATTTTTTTATAAAATGTCCAGCTTCTCTCTTCTTTGCTATTTGTTATTTGCCTGTTGAGTTTTTTTAGGATTGAAATAATTAACACTTTTTAAAAAATAAATTCAGTAAATTCAATCAGGATTGTATGGCGCTATAAACACACCGTTTCTACACGTGATTTTTAAAAGACATTCATTAATTCCAAAAAAATAACAAACAACTAAATTTTATGTTATTATTATTGTTTTTAAATCATTAGAAAAACTATTACGTTAGCATTAGATTTTGTTTTTCTTGAAAAAACTCGAAAATTTACTCGTGGGTCTTAGAAATGGGATTAACAAGCCAATGTAATAAAAAAGATATGAAATTCCAATTAACGTCATTGATGATGATGATATCTGAAATAAATAAATATAAAACATTTTTTGCCTGATTTGTTCACAGAATGTGCAAATTATTATGGAAAAAAAATAAAAAATCTTTATCCTTGTTCGGTGTGTCTCATTATCATCGGGGTAGACATTTAATAAAATATTTGATTTGAATTTCACATATGTAAATTTGAATTTCACACATGTGAATTGTGAATTCACATAATTTCATTTTCACGTACAAAATATGTGTAGCAACATTTTTTATTAATTTGTAAATTGATTAAAAAATCAAATATTATTATTATATTATTATTAACACTTATAAAATGATGAAATGGATTATATTTAAATTATATTAGAAAGACAGAATCATCTGTACGCAATGCTTTACCATCTTTTTCCATTGCTTCCAAAGCAGATTTCATTTCTTCAACATCAAAATGTTCTATATTATTTTCTGCTGATAATTTATTTATTTCCTCGAGTAATTCATCATACTTTATTTTCGATAAAAACTTTGATGTGATTTTGCTGAATAGTTCTCTGAACGTTTCATATCTAATTTTAAAAATAAAGGTATAATTGGTTAGAAGGATTGATCAAAAATTTATCAATTTGTTTTAATAAAAATAATTACCGATTTTGTGATAAAGTTGATTGATTTGTGTTTTCATCTCCTTTTGGAGGCGAGTCTACTTCCATTCTACCTTTGCCTTTATCTCTCGATGTTCTTTTTAGTTATCATCAAATTTTCAAGGAAGGTGTGATTTTAATTTTTTTTAAATCAATTATCATCCTTAAATAATAATAAAATAACACCCTACCCACCTTGTTGATTCATTATCAGCTTGATCGCCATTATTATCATTTTCATTATTGTTATTGTTATTATTAACATTATTATTATTGCCTACATTAACATTATCATCGCCGTTGTCGTCGTCGTCATCGTCATCATCATCAGTATCTCCTCCTCCGTGATTATCATGATTAGCTTCATCGCCACCTTCATCACCATCTTCATCAACACGTGAATTAACACTTACTTTACGTCTTTTATGATTATTACGTCTAGTACGTCTTTTAACTTTCTTGTTAATTACTTCCTTGAATAAGGCAAACCTTACAATTTCTTCTGCTACTTTTGCATCCTTTACAGTAACCTTTTCGCGTAAGCGTGCTTTCGCATGTGCTGTAGCTAAACGAAATAATGAGTCTAATGGCCTTTTTGATGTATTCATGACCATATATTGAAGGTGCTAACGATTTAGTGAGAAATTCAAATATGTCATCTTTTCTTTGTTTTGCAATCTCTTCAATTTTAGAAGAGTCGTCAGCAGTAATAATATTATTACACATGTCGCCAGACAAGATGGTAATATTTGTAGCAATAAGAACAGTTCTAAGATTGTTTTTGTAAAAACAATAAATGTAACATATGATAATGAAATATTTCAACAATAAAAAATAAAATAAAAAATATCAACCTAAATGTTGCAGAAGTAGAGTTTTGACTTGGTTTTCCAATAGCCCTATAAATGCCAGCCAATTGGATGCGATCACCAGGTTTTACCTTGTCGACCAAGTCATCATCTAATACTATATCGATTGATCTTAGCAGTTGACCAGCAGGAGCTTTTTCCGGCATTTCTTGAAGACAGATTGTTTGATGATCACGATAAACTGAATATCCAAATTCAGTGGTCAATTGATTTCCGCTGCCATCTTCAGTTGGATAGGCATTTGATGTAGGTATGAAATTTCCTATTGTTGTAAAATCTCTATATTCTTTTTGATGGAATTCCCCAGTTTTTCCACAGTGATGAACACTTTTTGCAAGTTTTAATCTAACAAATGAACCTTTATCAAAAAATCATAATAAATAATAATAAATAACTTTTTTTTTTTCAAAAAGCAAAAACCACTTGCATGATTATGTATAAATAAATATAATTACATCGTGATACAATTCCCACGATGCTAATTAATTTTGATAAATGAATTGATTTCAAAGTTCTTGGATTCAAATGATGAAAAAAACTACCACTAAATCCCACATAAAATTGTTGTTCTTCAAGTTTTTTTTTAGGCATGAAATTAATTAGATCATTGCAGGCGATTACGGCATCCTTAAGAGCCTTTTGAAATGGTGGTACAAAATCATTGGGAAATTCTATAAGACTATTATTTGT